CGAGCGGATGTCAGTTTGAGGAAAATCTGCAAGAAGACAATCTTTCGTCAAACAGGCTGGATTCTGCACTCCCTCGAGCAACTCTGCCTCGCGGGCGCCCAGAGGATGACCCCGGAGCAACGCGGGATTCCCAGCAGCCAAGAAAATGCACTTCCTCCGAAGGTTTGACATCACGGTGGTCGCGATGAAGCCGAGCGCCTCCCCGCGCGCACCCACTGACGGCAGCGGTTCGGCGCCGCTCGCGGCGGCGGCGCCAGAGGCAGCCTGCGCGGCGGCGGCGGCGCCAGGGGCACCCTGCCCGAGGATCTGAAACACGCGCCCGTCCTTGAAGACAGCGTCCAATGTCTCCACCATGCAATCGATCTGCAAGCGCGATGAAGCGACGTCGTGGTTGACAACGTCGAATAAACGCAGAAACCAATTGCAAATGGCGCCCCAATCCGCGGACACGCCGGCAGCCTTGCAAAACTTAGTGTCGAACTTTCTCAGTGAAGTCAGGGCCCGCTCACGCTTTTCGCTCTCGCGACGTTTGTCCGATGATATGTGCGCCAGCAAAGTCGCAACTGGCAGCAACATCAGCGCAATCTTCCCGACTGGCCCCGCAGTGGAATCGAATCGTTGCTTGGCGAACGAAAGATTCCGCACGACTGCTTCCGAAGGCTTGCGACCAAAGCCAGCTTGCGCCACAGGCGCGGTGTTATCCTCTTGAATGGCCACGAACAAATCCCCCCACTTGTCGCTGTTCATGATGCGCGGCGCCAAGGCGTGCCGGTCATCGAAAAGCTCGCGCCGCACCTCGCCGAACACCTCGTCGCAGTGCAAGGATTGGCTCGCGATGCGCATGGCACGCGCGGGGCCCCGAATCACTGCCAGGAGGTTTGAGAAGGACTCCCGAGCAGCGAGAAACACTGCTCGTCGTTCCTTCGCGGCACCATCTGCTGCAATACTGGTGACGGTCGCCAAAATGTGCGACTTCAGCGGCTCATCACACGCCAGAGGCTGCGCTTTGCTTCGGCCCCGCCCCAGTGGCGCGCAGAACTTCGCGGAGAAACTGCCGAGCTGCTTGACGGCAAACGCGGCGTGGTCTTCCTCGAACTCCGCTGCGCGACTCTTCCTGCAATCGAGGATGCCGAGCACGCCAGAGCGGCAACAGCCCGAAGCCCCCACGTTCTGAGCGACGCCGCCGCCGACAGGGGCGGGCACGTCAGCGCGATATCTAACGATCTTGCGGTACTTCGACTCGTCCAAGGATGAAGATATCGATGTGGCGTTCCGCAGCACCTCGCGAGTTTCCACGCGAAGTGCCTCCGCCATCGCGCAAAGCTGCTTGCGCCTGCGTTTCCGAGTTCTCTCCTCCGTCGGATCGCGCGCAGAGAACTGCTTCCGCCGCGCGCGAGCGCACTTGCGCAGAGCAGACGTCTCAGAGAGCATCGCCCAAGCATCCCTCCATTCCGCGGCCGACGGCGCATTTCCCCGCAGAAGCGCAGCGTCTGCCGCCGCCATGTCCCCCTGGCCCTTCTTGTCGGATGAAGGAACACCTCGGCGCGCCAGAGGCAGTGACTTCGGCAAGAATTCTGCGCAGAATCTTACAACTTGCTTCACTCCCGCTGCGCGTCGATGCGCCGTTGACTTCCGGTGCTGTTCCACTTGGAATCTCGCGTGGAAGCCGGTCACAGGGCGAACCTTGAAAGAAGCAAACTTGGAGAACCTGCCGTCAGAACTTGTCCGCCCTGCGGCCGCAGCCTTCGCGCGCGCTCGGCAACCCGGCCCGCGCTGGCCGCGATGCTCGCCTGCAGCCAGCCACAACGAACGATTCCGCAAGAGAGATAGCGCCGTGCACGTTTTGTGCCGTCGGTGAAAATCGCATCTGATACAGAACGCCTTGTTGCAAGGAGAATGCTTGGCGAAGTGCTGCTCATCCGAATCGGTTACTGTCCGAGTCGTTCTCGCTTCGGTCACGCCCTCGCGAGACTGAGCCGCCCTGCGTTTTCTCCGCGCCGCGCCAGAGGCAGCGCCACCCTTGCCAGATGCGCCGGAGGCAACACCGCCCCTTCCGCCACGACGATGCGCCAGAGGCAGCGCCGCCCTCGCCACTGGCAGATATTTCTTCTTGGCGCTGGACGCTCCGCCGCTGCGGGTTTGTCCGCAATGCCCCCGCGACGGCAACGACTGCCCCGCGCTCGCTGCTGCCAGTTTTTCCTGTAGATATCCCCCGAATTGAAAATACAGCGGCACGCGCATCACCCAGCGCAGCGTCCCCGATCGCGGTGCGCCCCAGATGCGCGGCGCTCGGCTTGCGCCAAACCGGCTATGGGGCAACAGCGAGCTCGACGGCGCTGACCAGGGGCAAATTCTACGCGACCGTGAAAAAATAAGCGCGACCAGGAGAAGACCAAACGAGCCATGGACAAACTAAACACGACCAGGAGACAACTAAACATTATTATGAGAAAACGCCCTCGGAAAACTGCACGAAACTGAAAACTACATGGAACCCGGGAGGGGGAAACAACAAAAAAAACCTCGGACAACTGAACATGGCCCTAGCAACAATAAACGAGACCCTAGGAAAACGAAACAAGGCCCTAGCAAAACTAAACGAGACCTTAAGAAAACGAAACACGACCCTACCGAAACTAAACGAGACCATCGGAAAACTAAGCAAGACCCAAGCAAAACTAAACGAGACCCTCGGACAACTAAATACGAAAACTAAGCGAGATCGCAGGGAAACTAAACAGGACCCTACCAAAACTAAACGAAAACCAAGCATGGCCTTGCAACAACTGAAGGCGACCCTGGGGGGGGGGGGGAAAGGGAAAAACAAAAACAAAAAAAAAACTGGCAAACCTAAACGAGACCCTAGGACAACCAAACAGAACCCTACCAAAACCAAACGATCGGACTGGGAAGGGAAGGGATGGGGGAGGGGGCGGAGGAGGAAGTGGAGGAAGCGGAGGAGGGGCAGGCTCGGAGGCCGATCACCCTGCTGTGTCGGCTCGGCGCTGCTGCGATGAGCTCAGCGTGAACTCTGAGCGGCCGCTCAGAGTCCGATCCCAGTCCCTTCCCTTCCCTCCGATCAGACCTCCCCCTCCCTTCCCCTCCCAGTCCGATCAGACCTCCCAGTCCGAGCTCAGACCTCCCCCTCCCTTCCCTTCCCAGTCCGATCGTTTAGTTGTGGTAGGGTCATGTTTAGTTGTCCGGGGGTCTCGTTTCGTTTTGCCAGGGTCTTGTTTATGTTTTCCGCGGTTCTCCTCCAGTTTTTGCAACGTCATGTTTAGTTGCCCCACGGTCCCGTTTAGTGTGGGAAGGGTCCTGTTTAATTGTCCTACGGTCTCGTTTAGTTTTGGCACGGTCCTGTTAAGTTGTCCGAGGGTCTCGTTGAGTGTTGCCAGGGTCTGGCTTAGTTTCTCTTCGGTCTCGTTTAGTTTTGGTAGGCTCGTGTTTCGTTTTCCTAAGGTCTCGTTTAGTTTTGCTAGGGCCTCGTTTTCCGAGGGTCTCGTTTATAGTTGCTAGGGTCATGTTTAGTTGCCCGATGGTCTCGTTTAGTTTGGCTGGTTCTATGTAGTTTTCACTGAGTTTTGCGCAGTTGTCCTAGGGCTCCTCCATTCTTTGGCCACGTGCTACTGGCCAGCCTGGACGCTTATGCGGTGGCCCTCCCGTGGCAGGGCGGGCGCCAACCAATGGCGCCAAAAGGCTCAAAAGAAACCCCAGCGGGAACACGTGCTTCTACGACCGAGCTAGTATCGAAGCAAGGCGATCTGGCGAATCCTGCTCGTCGCCCCCCAGCGGCCCCCGTCGGGCCAACAGCGGGCCTCCGTCATTGTCCGCGTGTCCGCGCACCACTTGCGGGTGCCATCCTTGTCAGTGTAGTAGACGATGGGCATGGGGTGAGCAGGGCCTGGGGGGGGGGGGGGGGGGGGCGCGTAGTAGTCACGCATCGCAACATTTAGTTTCTGGCAAATGTCTGAGTCCATGTCGATCCAGGCGAGCTTTGTGGTGACGCTCATCTCTTGCCGCTGCCAGATCGCCGAGTCGCCGCCTTCTGCGCCAGAGGCAGCGCCGGCGCCAGAGGCAGCGTCTTCCACTGCCGTCTTCTGCCCCTTCGCCCCCCCCCCCCCCCCCTCCTGCTCGCCACCTTCGGCGCCAGTGGCAGCCCCGCCTTCTGCGCCATAGGCAGCGTCTTCCGCTGCCTGCTTCTGCCCCTTCGGCCCCTCCCCCTCCTGCTCGCCACCTTCGGCGCCAGAGGCAGCCCCACCTCATGCGCCTTCTGCTCGTTGTCGATGATGGCCCCCCCCCCTTCGGCTCCTTGATCAAAGACGCCGAGCGCTGCATTGGGGTACTCTGCGCCTCGAATCTGAAGGGCCATAGCTTGGAAGAGCGTCGGGGAGGAGTCGCGAAGGGCGTCGGGGGGGTCTTGAGATCAATTTGCAACGGATGGTGCCCCTCGGCCGTTTTCAGGTCACCTGAACTTCGCACCTGCGCTAAGCTGGCATCCGACGCTAGCGTTGCCAGCAGAGGAACGACGAATACCAACCGCACCTCATGGACAGTCCGGGGGCCACGGGGCACTTTGGAAATTGAGGGCAGATCGCAATATTCCTCGAAATCGGGGAGTCGGGGAGTCGGCCGGGGAATCGGGAGTCGGGGGGTCTGAGAGTCTGAGTCGGGGAGTCGTCGGGAAGTCGTCGAAAAGGCGGCGAGTCGTCGGGGGCGATACTACTTTTTCCGAACCGAGACTTCCGCGCGCGGCTGCCAAACATCAGAATCAAACCAAGGCGAGGAAGACCAGCACGGCATGCGCATGAGAATGAAACGCTCCGCACTGTCAACGCAAGGACGGTGCAAACACCCCCCTTCGCAACAACCGTCATGCGAGAATTCGCCCCTCATAGCCGATGCCACCAGGCCCCTCTCGGAAGCGAGTGTTCGAAGGACCACTCGCGTGGCCAGGGGCGCGCCAGAAGCAGCGTCGTGGCACGCCAGAGGCAGTGCGTCGCCTACTCTTCGTCATCCTCGTCATCGCCCTCCTCGCCCCCGCCGACCTCGTCGACCAGCGGCATCAGCAGACGTTTCGCCTCCATCATTGTTCCGCTGAAATACTTGCTAGCTTTCTCGACGAAGTCGGCGTCGCCGCCCACTTGATGCGCGCGCCCCTCCTCGTGGCCCGCCTTGTGCATCACGCACCTGTCCACGATGGAGTCGAACCAGTCCCGATGGTTATCGTTGCAAGCGACACCTTCGTACTCCATTGCTCCAGCGGCAGCAACAGCCAAGGCGCCAGAGCCTGGAGTGAAGTCGACGATGTGGGTCACACTGTGGTGCCCCATGATCGTCTGCCATAGGCTGATGGGCGTCACCTCGTTATACGAGAACGGGTGGCCCTTCGAATCGATGACTGCCTGCAGGCGCGGAATGCTGGCGCCGTCAACGCTACCGCAAGATGCAGCTCCCAGGATGATCGCCTTGGCCTCGTAGCTCAGGCGAGGGAGCTCGGAAAGACGCCGCATGCTGACGCCAATGCACGTCGTGTCTGCGGTCGAAGACTCGCCGCGCGCGTTGAACTCGGAACGGTGCACCGCCTTCCGCGGGCCCTTGACTGGCATCGAAAGATCGCCGTCTCCCTGTTGTTCTTGGTGTAGCTGGGCGCCCTGGCCGGCGACCGCGGATCCTCCTTCTTGTTTGGCTGCTCGTCCACGATCCAGCACTCAACGAACGCGTGGGAGCTCCCCGACTCCAACTTGTCCTCGAGGCTCTCAATGACCCGCCGATTCGCGCGGCTCCTGCCGTCGAGGAAGATGAGGATATCATCATTCTGCCTCTTCTGCAAGAAGAACTCGAGGACTCGCTTGAACTTCGCCTCGTCGCACGGCAACTCCTCGCAGAGCCTCGCCTTGACGCCTTCCTTGACGACTTTGGGCGGGAAGAGCTCCGCTGAGAGGACGAACGCGCGAACGTCGGTTGTCTTCCTCGCGAAGCGGTGCCCCAAGCTGAGCGCATCCCACACGCTCTGCATCTGCTCCGCTGAATACTCCGCGCCAGAGGCAGCGCCGACCGGTGGCAAACTGACGAACCTCACTTTTTTTTGCGAGGAAGCTTGAGCTGCTCCTGGAATTTGGCGAGCTCTTGTTTTTGTTCTTCCCCGGGCTCGGACACCCCCAACAAGCCGAGATTTGCATCCAGGTCGGGGTCGGAGGGGGTCGGCCCGCCCGCGCAGGCGGTCACGAAAGCGCGGTACTTGACACCCACGTCCCGGCTGGTCTTGGTGAGGCACGTGTGCCAGACGAACGCAGGCGCGCTGTTCTGCATCTCCTGCCTGGCAAGCTCGGCGATTTCTTCGTCGAAAGCGCCCGACCACAGAAGCCGCGCGACGTCGATCATCGCCTTCGACTTGCAATCCACGGAAGTCCGATACTCAGCCACGGGGAGCGCGAACAATTGTTCCACCCCGTCGGCGCCGCCGCCTGGGTCGGACACGCGGTGCGAAGCCACGAGCCCACCCGCGCCAGAGGCAGCGAACCGCTGGAGGATGCGGAGAGGTGTTTTGAATGCGGCCATTTCGCGCTCATGTTCCTTGTGCATGAGAGAGGCCTCGTGGAAAATGTACTCGACGAGCTCCTGTTTCTTGAAGACCGCGTGGACCATCCCTGGCGATTTACAATGAGGCCCGCAGACCCGGCTCACGGCCAGTTTCTTGCCCTTCGGGACGTCGCCCGCCAGGCGAGCCACGCGGAAAGTGTCCAGGATGAAAACGAACAATTCCCTGGCCTTGTCGTCAGAGACAGCCCTATTGGAGCATGCGAAGCCGATCTTCATGAGAAGCGCAGGGTCGCGAAGCCCTGGGATATATGCTTCGGCCAGCGAGAAAGCCGAAGAGCAGGCGCTGTCGAGGATGAAAGTGTGCAAACCTTTCAGCGCCGCGGCAGTTGCGCTGGTGCACGGTTTCCCTTTGAACTGGAGGCCGTAGGCCTTCAGCGCGACCTCCAGCCTCGTCGCTGCTTCCGCTCTGTCGAGACTGGCGCGCACGTTTGTCAAGCGGCGCGCTTTTTCTGCGAGCCGCCAGAAGCTATCTGCGCCAGAGGCAGCGCTCGCAGTGAACATCTTCTCTCCAAAACTCAGGGCCGCCAAGTGGGCCGCGACCGCATCGGGCAGCGCGCGCATCCTGATGGGGACGGGCAACGCGGCATTGAACAGATGCCACGCGCGGTCCTCGTTGGCCTCCTTGAGCGCCTCGCCCATGGCAGAATACCACGTGATCACCACCGCGCGGCCCGCGATCATGGCCAGAGGCTCTGTCAAGCAAACTCCAGGCTTGCCGGGCTCAAGGCGCTGGGCGACATGGGCGTCGACCACCGAGGCGGGGAGAGGCGCGTCGAAGGTCAGGCGCCGCGAGGGCGCGTGCTTGGAGGAGAGGAGGAACGTCTCCTCCGACCACATGCCCATGGCACCCTCGAGCTGACTGACGGTGACCTCGTCGATGTCCGCGCAAACCGGGTCCAACAACCACGCCGCCCCCGCTGCCTCGTACTCCTTGGTGCGGGAGAAGCTCGCAACCAGGTTGTCGAAGTCCATGACCTCGCGAAACGAAGCGAGGTTAGCGCCAGAGGCAGCATCAGTGATGGCCAACGGCGCAATCAAAGAACACTTGCGAAGCTCCAGGAAGATGACCAAAGCCTGGTCGACGTAGCCCTTCACTTGGCGCACCCAGCCATTGAGAGCGCATTGCTGCGTCGACGCGCTTTCCATCTCGAGGAGCTGATTGATGCGCAGCGGGGCAGGCGGCGCGCCAAAGGCGACGGCTGGCGGCGCGCCAGAGCCAGCGGCGGGCGACGCGCCAGAGGCATCGGCTGGTGAGGCCGCAGCGGCTGGTGACGCGCCAGAGGCAGCGGCTGGAGAAGCCGCAGCGGCTGCGGCTGGTGACGCGCCAGAGGCAGCGGCTGGAGAGGCCGCAGCGGCTGGTGAGGCCGCCGCCGCCTTCTTCGCAGGCGACGCGGTCGCCAAGCCAGCTGCCCTCTTGCCCATGGTGCTTCGGGGAGAGGCTGATGAGAGCCGGCGCAGCTGAGAGCCGACGCAGCTAATGACGAGGCGCACGGGAAGCCGAAAACGCACACCAACGGACGCCTACTTTCCCTAGGGTCTCGTTTAGTTGTCCTAAAGTCTCGTTTAGTTTTCCTACGGTCTTTGTCACGTTTTGGTAAGGTCCTGTAAAGTTGTCCTAGGGTCTCGCTTGGTTTTGCTAGGGTCATATTTGGTTTTCCCAAGGCATCGTTTAGTTATGGTAGGGTCCTGTTTACTTTGCCGAGGGTCTCGATTAGTTTTGGTAGGGTTTTTAATATATATATAAAAAAGGGCCTCGCTTAGTTTTGGTAGGGTCTTGGTTAGTTGTCCTAGGGTCTCGTTTAAATATGCGAAGGTCATGTTTAGTTGTCCTAGGGTCTCGTTTAGTTTTGCTAGGGTCCCGTTTAGTTGTCCCATGGGTCTCGTTTAGTGTTGCTAGGGTCCAGTATAGTTTTCCCATGGTCTCGTTTAGTTTTGGCAAGGTCTTGCTTAGTTGTCCTAGGGTCTCGTTTCGTGTTGCGAGGGTCCTGTTTAGTTGTCCTATGGTCTCGTTCAGTTTTGCTAAGGTCCTGTTTAGTTGTCCCATGCTCTCGTTTAGTTTTGCTGGGGTCTTGTTTAGTTTTCCCAGGGTCTCGTTTAGTTTTGGTAGGGTCCTGCGTAGTTTTCCTAAGGTCTCGTTTATGGTTGCGAGGGTCCTGTTTAGTTGTCCTAGGGTCTCGTTTAGTTTTGCTAGGGTCCTGTATAGTTTTCCGAAAGTCTCGTTTAGTTTGGCTAGGGTCCTGTTTATTGTTCCCATGGTCTCGTTTAGTTTTGGTAGGGTCCTGCTAATTGTCCTAGGGTCTCGTTTAGTTTTGCGAGGGTCCTGTGTAGTTGCCCTAGGGTCTCGATTAATGTTGCTAAGGTCCTGTTTAATTATACCATGGGTCTCGTTTAGTGTTGCTAGGGTCCTGTTTAGTTTTCCTAGGGTCTCGTTTAGTTTTGGTAGGGTCCTGCTTAGTTTTCCTAGGGTCTCGTTTAGTTGTGCGAGGGTCCTGTTTAGTTTTCCGATGGTCTCGTTTAGTTTTGCGAAAGTCATGTTTCGTTGTCCTAGGGTCTCGTTTAGTTTTGCTAGGGTTATGTTTAATGTTCCCCTGGTCTCGTTGGGTGTTGCGAGGCTCCTGTTTAGTTTTCCAAGGGTCTCGTTTATTTTTGCGAGGGTCATGTTTCGTTTTCCTAGGGTCTCGTTTAGTTGTGCGAGGGTCCTGTTTTCTTGACGGCAATAAACGGTGCCGATCCTTTTCACTCTCAAATCCTCAGCGCCAAAACGGCTTCAGCACAGTGCATGGGTGAGAGCGGGAAAGGGATATGTAGGGGAGGCACGGAAGGGCGTCGGGGGCGATACATCTCGACACCCCTCCTCGAGCCTCTTGCCGAGGGCGCACGCGCAGCGGGGCAGGCGCTAGCCACGATGCCCAAAGCAAAACGCACACGCTCCGCGGCTCACGAGACGGCGCCTCCGCGACCTCAACCCGCGGCAGGCAGCGTCGGCGTGGACCGCGGTGCAGCATGCGCACCCCCTGGCCCAGCACCCGAGCGCAGATCAGGCACCCGCTCCTCGTCACCAGCGGGTGATGCCGATCGCGCAGAGCCTGGCAATTTGGACTCGAGTGGATCGAGGTCCCGACCGTGTCCAGGTGGAACAGCAGCACGCCCCTGCCACGCGGCTCCGACGGCCCCCGGCAATGATCGCTGGGAGCGTCGGGTGCTGGAGGCGGATCGGGTTCTGGCTCCGATCGGCCCCTCTCCGAACTCTCAGTGGGCTGACCCTTGGAGCGGCCCCTGCCCGTCCGCCCTGCAGCTGACCTCGGGAGGCATAGGCGCAGGCACCAGCCGCACCAGCACAGCATCACGCCCACGAGCATGCAGAAGACCGACCAGGCCACCACGATCGCCAGGCGTGGGTCGGGTCCGCCGTCGGGCGTGCCTGGATGGGCCCTCACGCCGTTCGCGAGGACCATGAACGCCGCCAGGTACCGTGCTCCTCGGGACGCACTCAGGGCGGCCACGATGCCATTCCCGAGGGCGTCGATCGGGACCAGACCGAGCATGGCGCGGCACTTCTCGAGCGCACCCTTCCCCAGGAACTTCGCCCCAACGTCGTGGATCTGGCCCGTGCCGACCAGCTGCTGTAGCCATAGCCACTTCACCTCCAGATGTCGCAACCTGCCGAGTCCACGCCGCGAGGCGATCGCGATGGCGGAGGACGCGTCGCACTCGATCTCCAGCGACGTGTCGAAGCCTATGAACTTGACGAGCTCCCTCACGTACAGCATCTCCGCCGCCAGCTCCACGGCCGCCAGGTACTCGGCCTCAGGGCTCGACTGGGCGAGCACGGACTCCGTGCGGGCGTAGGCGCTGACGACCACCCCGCACCACCGCACGATCCCGCATGCTGTCGACTTGCGGGTCTCGTGGCATCCCGCCCAGTCCGAGTCGGTGCTACCTCGGATGCGCTTGTAGTCCTTCGTGGAGCGGTGGACCATGGCCAGGTCGACCGTCCCGCTGAGGTAGCGGAGGAGGTGCTTCAGGCACTTCATGTCGGCCGCCCGCGGCTCGCTCAGCCGACGACCGAGCTCCTTCAGCGGGTACATCACGCCCAGCCTCCGTGGAATCGCGTACTGGATCTTCCCGCAGCACCTCCTGTACAGCGAGTGCTCCTCGCTGTTGAGCGGCTGCTCGGCTCCGGGCGGAGTGAGGTCTGGCCTGACCCCAGCCGTGCCCACAGGCCTGCAGCCCAGCATCCCCGCCGCGTCGAGGATGCTCTCGACGTACCCGGGCTTGCTCTTCTCCACGATCACGTCCCCGAGCCTCTGCAGCGACGAGCCGAGGTAGATCACGGGGGTCTCGCCCAGGACGTACCGTCCCTTGATCGCGAGGTGCTTGGCCAGCTCGTCGAAGAACTCGTCGAGCACTCCCCGCGTGGGACCTGAGGCAAGAGGATCGTCCGTGTGGACCACGACCCTGATGCCCTTCTCGGTGTGATGGTAGATGGTGGGCTCCGCCTTGCAGACCTTGACACCAATCCCGACCACGATGCTCTCCAGGAGCTCTTGGAATCGGAGCGCTGCCTCTCTGAGCCCATACAGAGACCTCTTCAGTCTCCACACGTATCCATGCCCCATGCCGTACTCGGGCGGCATCACGGCGTAGATCTCGGTGCCGTCCTTCACGGGCGCGTGCATGAACGCCACGCTGAAGTCCGTCGTCACGATGACGTGCTTGAGCATCTGCGCCGCCGCCATCAGCACGCGCACAGCCTCCGTGCGCGGGGTGCAGGCGAAGAAGTCCCCCGCCTGGGCGTCCCTGAACTGCTTCACGACGAACCTGCTGCGAACCCCCTCACCCTTCTTGCGGTGGCACCACCTCGTGCCCCACGCCTTCTTGTCGCGGGGGCGCGCCGCGACCTCACCGACGCCGAGGGACTCCATGAAGTTCGCCTCCCTCTTGATCCCCTCGCGGACGGCGTCGGGGTCGAGGCACTCACCGTCGTCGTCGTCGTAGTGCGCCTCGCTCAGCAGTTCGAAGTTGGGGTCGAGCTCGCACGGCGTACAGAGCTCGGTGTCGTCGGGGTAGCCCATCAAGTAGGCGACGGACACGCTGCCAACCTTCACCGTGCCAATTCTCCTCTCCTTGTGCGCCTCGCCTTCCGCAGGCGCCTCATCGCTGGCCCGCTTGCCAGCCGAGCTCTGCGGCTCCTCGACTGCTGCACGCTTCACCTCAGGTGCAGCTGCGCTCTCCGCCGCGGCCCGCTTGCTACGCGGCTCGTTAGGAGGCAACCCCCTCCTCTCGAGACAGAAGTTTGAATGACGGTACGATGTGCCCAAACATCCACTACAGCCTGGGGTAACTCTGTTGACATCGGGTCTGGAAGCACTCGTGTAGCTGGTCGGCCCCTCGGCCTCTTCGTGACGGGCTGTGGTGCGTCCTCGACGTCGTCCATGGCCTCGTCGCCGCCAGCGGCTGCCTCGGCACCTCCTGGGCCCTCCTCCTGCGGCTCCTCGAACCCCACCTCCCCCTCCTGGGGGACCGCCTGCCCCTCCTCGGGCGCGGCGTCCGCAGGTCGCGGAAGCCTGGCGGGCTGCGGGAGGTTGAGGTCGAGGGCTGGTCTGTCTGCTACTGGCGTAGATGCATTCGGCGCCTTCGTGTCGCTCGGGGTGCCCTTCATGGCCAGGAGCAGCTGCTTGTCGTAGCGCTCGCTCTCCACGAGCCTCCGCATGGACCTCGCCACGACGATGCCGCGCCTGGCGCCGCAGATGTGGGAGTCGTCCTCCAACGACCGCCCGAGGTAGATGCCGCAGCCCCACGCGGACTCGAACCTGGCGACGATGGGCCCAGGCTGCCTCCACATAACCGTCTCGCCGAATGGTAGGGCCTTCTTGGCGTAGTGCCTCTCGTGCTGACGCTCGTATGACGCCGTGTAGTCGGAGCGGTGGACGAGGAAGCGATCGTGGGTCCACGATGCGTGGCGCACGATCCAGGCCATCAGGGGATGCCTCAACTCGATCACGATACCGTACTTCGCCCCGATGGCTCTCCTCCAGGTCCTCGTCATGCCCTCGATGAACGAGTGGAACCTCTCCACCATGCTGTTGCTCCCCTTGCTCGTCTTCGGTGTGTACCTGAAGGTCGCGTTGTTGCCGATGTCCCTCGCGACCTTGGCCGCCGCGACCTTGGCCGCATTCTCGGGGTCGCACTGGATGATAACCTTCTCAAACCCGAGCTTCTCCACGGACAGTGGAGGGCCTCGTGAACCTTCCTCTCGGCTCGTGTCGGCTCCCTTGGCGCCGTCATCACCGTAGCCTCGGGCCTGACCTCTTGCTCCATCGGCTGGTCCACCTGCGCAGCGATGTACTCCTCGGGGACGCCCGTCGCCGTGTTGTTGACGACCAGGCCGTCCGCGCCGATCTTGGTGCCGACGTAGCTCATCACCGTCGCGCGCAGGAAGAACAGGCCGAGCCTCCTCTTCAGCCCAAGCCGCGATCGCCCGCTCCTCGAATCCCGCGTGATCGAGGGTGGGCCCGTCGAGTCGGACGGTGGGAACTCCACCCCAGCTCCTGCCTTGTTGATGCTGTTGACGCTCAGGATCGGTTGCGTCACCCCCGCGACGTGGAATCTCACACTGATATCGTCGTCGTTCTGCGTCTTCAAGTTCACCTGCTTGTCGCCGAAGTGCTTCAAGGAGGTCACGTTGGCGACCTTGATCTCCAGCCTCTTGTCCTGCATGGTGGGGTAGTCGGGGAAGTCGCTGGGCCCGCACGCCGACTTGTTGGCGCCAGTGTCCACCATGATATCAACCGTCTGGCCAACTCTTGTTCCGCTCGGGCCCTCAAGCGCGCCGACGGCGAAGATCCACGCAGCGTCCTCGCACTCGGAGCACTGGAGGGCGTTGGCACTGATGGAGGCGCTGGCGTCCTCGTGGGAGGAAGCCGCACCCTTCTCCTTCTCGTTGGTGGTGCCCCAGCTCCCCCACTTCTCGTCCCAGGTGTTGCCGTCCCAGGCGCTGCCGTCCCAGGTGCTCACGTTGTGGATCTTGGCGTAGCAGTCCTTCTGTTTGTGCCCCCACTTGCCGCATCGTCCGCAGTGTCCCTGGAACTTCTTCTCTCCGCCGGCGAGGCCACCGCCGCTGCTCCTGTCCTTGCCCTTACCTCTGGTGTCATTGCCTTTGCCCGTGCCTTTGCCTTTGGCCCTGCCGTGTCCTCTTCCGCCCTTGCTGTTGATGGCGCCGATGTCCATCGGCGCAGGGCCACCAGGCATGGACTGCTTCGTGAGCAGGAAGTCGGCGGCCACCTTCTTGATCCTCGCCCACTGGATCTCCTCCTTGGGTGTTCCCAGCAGCACGTGGTTCCTCAAGGCATCAGGGGCTCGCGCGATCAAGACCGCCGAGCGGATGTTGTCGCTGAGTGCCTCGCTCGCCAGCTTCTCGTACTCCTCGATCGAGATCTCGAACTTCGCCATGTTATCGAGGAACTCCGCTTCTCCGCCGAAGTCGAACTCCAGCGCCCTCATCAGTCTCGACAGGATGCTGCCCATGTTCTGAAGGTCATACTGGGAGCTCAGCCTGCGGTACGCCTCGAATCCGTCTTGGTTGCTGACCTTGCGGATGATGCCGAGCGGGGTGCCCTCCGTATACATCGTGAGCTGGTAGAACAACGACTGCGCCATCTGTCTCCGCTCGTCGTCGTAGTTGGCGTAGTTTAGCTGGTTCTGGCTGCACTCAACCTGGGTCATTCCCTCCAAGCACTTCCGACTCTGATTGCCGATGTACGCCTTGAACTTGAATGCTCAGTCGTGGAAGTCTGGCTTCTCCATGGTGTCGAAGGTCGGCGGCTTGCCCTTGTCTCCTATGATCGCGTTGGCGAACGCCTTCGTCGACTGCTGCCGATTCGCTGCCTCTGCGTCGGCTCGCTCCGTCTGGAGCCCTGATCGTCTGGTTCTGGTTCTCGACCGTCTCCATCAGTCGGCCCAGCTCGCGTTTCGTCTCCAACAACTCCTGCGCGAGAGCCTCCACGCTCATCGCGGCCGTTCAGCTGCCTCACAGGCAGGCAAGCTGAGCTCCGTGGATCTGCGGTTCAATGTCACCCGCGCTCCGCTGCCATCTTGACAGCAATAAACGGCGCCGATCCTTTTCACTCTCAAATCCTCAGCGCCAAAACGGCTTCAGCACAGTGCATGGGTGAGAGCGGGAAAGAGATATGTAGGGGAGGCACGGAAGGGCGTCGGGGGCGATACATCTCGACATGTTTAGTTTTCCTAGGGTCTCGCTTAGTGTTGCCAGGGTCCTGTTTAGTTGTCCTAGGGTCTCGTTTAGTTTTGCTAGGGCCTTGTTTAGTTGTCCCATGGTCTCGTTTAGTTTTGGCAGGGTCCTGCTTAGTTTTCCTAGGGCCTCGTTTAGTGTTGCGAGGGTCCCGTTTAGTTTTCCCATGGTCTCGTTTAGTTTTGCGAGGGTCCTGTTTAGTTTTCCTAAGGTCTCGTTTAATTGTGCGAGGGTCCTGTTTAGTTTTCCCATGGTCTCGTCTAGGTTTGCGAGTGTCCTGTTTAGTTTCCCCATGGTCTCGTTTAGTGGTGCTAGGATCCTGTTTAGTTTTCCCATGGTCTCGCTGAGTTTTGCGAGGCTCCTGTTTAGTTGTCCGAGAGTCTCGTTTGGTTTTGCGATGGTCCTGTTTAGTTGTCCTAGGGTCTCGTTGAGTTTTGGTAGGGTCCTGCTTAGTTTTCCTAAGGTCTCGTTTAGTTTTGCTAGGGTCCTGTTTAGTTTCCCATGGTCTCGTTTAGTTGTGGTAGGGTCCGGCGTAGTTTTCCTATGGTCTCGTTTAGTTGTGCGAAGGTCCTGTTTAGTTTTCCTAAGGTCTCGTTTAGTTTTGCGAGGGTCCTTTTAAGTTGTCCGGGGGTCTGGTTTAATTGTGCTAGGGTTCTGTATAGTTCCCCATGGTCTCGTTTAGTTTTGGCGGGGTCCTGCTTAATTGTCCGAGGGTCTCGTGTAGTTTTGCGAGGTTCCTGTTTACTTGTCCGATGGTCTCGGTTAGGTTTGCCAGGGTCCTGTTTGCTTGTCCTAGGGTCTCGTTGAGTTTTGCTAGGGCCCTGTTTAATGTTCCGATGGTCTCGTTTAGTTTTGGTAGGGTGCTGCTGAGTTTTCCGAGGGTCTCGTTTAGTCTTGCGAAGGTCCTGTTTAGTTGTCCGAGGGTCTCGTTTAGTTCTGCGAGGGTCTTGTTTAGTTTCCCTAGGGTCTCGTGTAGTGTTGCTAGGACCCTGTTTAGTTTTCCCATGGTCTCGTTCGTTTAGTTTTGGTAGGGTCCTGCTTAGTTGTCCTAGGGTCTCGCTTGGTTTTGCGAAAATCCGGTTTAGTTGTCCTAGGGTCTCGCTTAATATTGCGAGGGTCCTGTTTAGTTTTCCTACGGTTCCGTTTAGTTTTGCTTGGGTCATGTTTAGTTGTCCTAGGGTCTCGTTTAGTTTTGGCGAGGTTCTGCTTAGTTTTCCTAGGGTCTCGTTTAGTTTTGCGAGGGTCCTGCTTAGTTTTCCTAGGGTCTCGTTTAGTGTTGCCAAGGTCCTGTTTAGTTTTCCTAGGGTCTCGTTAAGTTGTGCTAGGGCCTTGTTTAGTTGTCTCATGGTCTCGTTTAGTTTTGGCAGGGTCCTGCTTAGTTTTCCTAGGGTCTCGTTTAGTGTTGCGAGGGTCCTGTTTAGTTGTCCCATGGTCTCGTTTAGTTTTGCGAGGGTCCTGTTTAGTTTTCCTAAGGTCTCGTTTAATTGTGCGAGGGTCCTGTTTAGTTTTCCTATGGTCTCGTCTAGGTTTGCGAGTGTCCTGTTTAGTTTCCCCATGGTCTCGTTTAGTGGTGCTAGGATCCTGTTTAGTTATCCTATGGTCTCGTTCAGTTTTGCTAGGGTCCTGCTTAGTTTTCCTATGGTCTCGTCTAGGTTTGCGAGTGTCCTGTTTAGTTGCCCCAATGGTCTCGTTTAGTGGTGGTAGGGTCCTGCTTGATTTTCCTAGGGTCTCGATTAACTTGGCGAGGGTCCTGTTTAGTTTTCCTAGGGTCTCGTTTAATTCTGCGAAGGACTTGTTTAGTTTCCTTAGGGTCTCGTGTAGTTTTGCTAGGACCCTGTTTAGTGTTCCCATGCTCTCGTTTAGTTGTGCGAAGGTCCTGTTTAGTTGTCCTAGGGTCTCGCTTAGTTGTGCGAGGGTCCTGTTTAGTTGTCCTAGGGCACTGTTTAGTTTTGCTAGGGTCCTGTTTCGTTTTCCTAGGGTCTCGTTTAGTGTTGCGAGGGTCCTGTTTAGTTTTCCCATGGTCTCGTTTAGTTTTGCGAGGGTCATGTTTAGAGATCATTTTTTTATTCCGGCCGGTAACGCTCGTTACCCGGGGGGGGGGGGGGGTCGTGCCCCCCGGGTAACGGTAACGCTTGGGCTGGGCGGGGTATGGCGAAGCAGGGGCGCTCTGCGATCGCCATAGTATGCGCGCGAGCAGCACTCTCTGCCTGAGAGCACCACAGTGGCTTGCGATTCGAGTACAAGCGCAAAGCCCGCCGCGTGGTCCCGGCACCACGCCCGCGCCCGCGCGCGCGACGACGATGATCGACGAGCGACGAGCGACGAGGTCGACGACGACGACGACGACGTTTGCCGCCTGTTTCGGCCTCCGGAGGCCGTTTTCGGGCGCCGTCGACGACGACGACGACGACGACGACGACGACGACGACGACGACGACGACGACGACGACGACGACGATTCGAGTACAAGCGCAAAGCCCGCAAGCACCAGCATCGCGCATGCGAGCGCCGCAATGGCCTGCGAGCGCCCACAGTGCGCCTGCGACCACCACACCACAGTGCGCATGCCTTCGGGCACCAGCATGTTGGAGGGGAAGACCGAGACCCCCCCCGCGTACGAGCGTTACCGTTACGGGGGGGGGGGGGGGGGAGAGGCCCGGGTAACGAGCGTTACCCCCCAGAGGATAAAAAAACAATCTCTTAGTTGTCCTATGGTCTCGTTCAGTTTTGCTAGGGTTCTGTTTCGTTGTCCTAGCGTCTCGTTTAGTTGTGCTAGGGTCCTGTTTCGTTGTCCCATGGTCTCGGTTTGTTCTGGTGGGGCCCTGCTTAGTTGTCCTGGGGTTTCGTTTAAATTTGCGATGGTCCTGTTTAGATTTCCCAGGGTCTCGTTTAGTTTTGCTAGGGTCCTGTTTAGTTGTCCTAAGGGCCCGTTTAGTTTTGCTAGGGACCTGTTAAGTTGTCCCATGGTCTCGTTTAGTTTTGGTAGGGTCATGAATGATGGCGCCTACTGCGGTGGCGGCGATGACGACGACGTCTTTTTCCGCTCGCAAGCGTTGCGTCGCGAGCTGCCGCGACGCCGCCTTGGCCTCGGAAGGCGCGCCGGAGGCAGCGGCGCGCCAGAGGCAGTGACTCGGCCACGCCAGAGGCCTAGACAACCAGGCAGACCGAGGCCAGCAGGGACGGCGAGGCTGGCGCTGGCTGCTTTGCGTCAGCGGATGTATGGGGCGAGTCCCTTCAGAGAAACCCTTATTCCAAGCCACCGCGGGCCAACCAATGCAACCATCGAACGAGTTGATTGAAACAAGTGCCGCGCCCCACGGCAAATCAGGCCGCCGCAGGTCGGCTCGAAACGACGCCGCAGGTCGGCTTGACGCCGCGGGTCGGCATGCATACGCTCCACGGCATCGTAATGAGGCCGCCGTCATCGTGCAAATGCCCACGGTGGCCTCAATCGGAGTCGGACTCATGCACGGTCGCCGTCTTCAGAAGACGGCCGTCTCATCCACCATGGCCTTAGTTGGCCTCCTCATCCACCATTGCCACAATTGGAGTCGGACTCCACCACGGTCGACGTCGTCTCCCAAACCTATTCCACCGTGTACTTGACGTCCAGCGGGCCCCTCGTCTTGGTGCCAGCCGAGTACTCGTTGGTGCGCGTCGACGTCAGGCCCTGGAAGATATCGCCAAGGCCGTCGGAGATCACCTCGCCCTCCTTGAAAGTATGCACGATGCACTTCCTGCGCTTCTCGTAGACGACCTTCGCCAGCTTACGCCGAGGCCGATTCCGACCCCCTCCCTCATCAGACTTTGCCGTTGCCATTGGCAGCTCAGCCTTTGGCCCCTCCTTTTAAATGCCCGCAGGGGCCCCCGCTGAAGATCCCTCGCCGCCAGAGGCAAGCGGCGGCGCGCTGTATGCGGCGGCAAAACTCAGGCCACGCGGCATGCTGTCCTGGAGATCCTCCTGGGTGGCACCATCGCCCCCACGCCAGAGGAAGTGACTCGGCGCGCCAGAGGCAGCGGCAGGGCCTTCGGCGTCGCTCAAGCTGCCCTTCACCACCGCCACCGTTGCATCTGCGGGCGGCGGCGTCTCCTGGGGCAGCTCCGGCGGCGATGGCGGCGGCGGGTGCGGAGGAGTCCTGGGCTGCGCAGACATGGCCACGCGTGGAAGAGTTCACCGTGTAGTAGAAATCAGCATGTATAAGGAGCCTGAGTTTTGAACCACAATGGCGAATGGTCTCTGGCGGGGCAGGGCACGAAGGGTGGGAAGCCATGCGGAGCTGCTTGAACGTCTTGCTCTGCAGCGTGTTGCCGATGCTCTGGGGGGCCTCGACGAAGCCAGGGGCCGCTGCAAGAGCCAGCGCTGCCCTCGTGCCGCGCGTCTGAGGCTCCTACTACATCGGCGCGGTCATGACCAGGCTCCTGATCAGGGAGGAGTCGAGGGTGCCCAGGCTAGCGAACCGCCCGAAGTATCCCC